GTCAATTTATTGATATTTGGTTTATAATTTGTAACTTTTAATAAAGTACATGCGGCACTGCATTCATCAGTTAGTCGGTTTCTTAAATCAGATTTTATAAAATTCATTTCTGAAAATAGTGACYCGCATGAATAAGTTGAAGAAAAAATAGACAAAACAGCTAATGCTACTATTTTTAAAGTGGAATAATCTTTTGGAATTCAATTCCACACTTTCAAAATCTTGTCCCCTATGTTTACGACCGATTTGCCTATCGCCCTATCACGCTGAATTTCTTCTAACTCATTTCTCAGTATAACGAATTTTTCTTTCCATATGGTACTTGACTGAAAATCTACAAGCTGCATTTCAAAATCATCTAAATTCAACCATTCTAACACTTTTAAGTTGAGTTTTTCTAATGGCAATGTGTCTGGATAAACAATAATTTTCATGGTTTCTTCAAATTCTTTAAACTGAGTAAAGCGTGCAGAGAACTCGTTCATAGCTGTCCCAATAATATTTAAAAATTCTTGGATAAGATGAGTAATATCAGGTTTATTGAAAATTTCCAATTCCGAAATATACTTTTTAAGRTTAGGAAAATATTTGAAATTTTTGTTTATTATGTCACGGTTAAATATTTTTAATTTTACCTGAAATGCTTGTATCATATCAAACATACAAGTGATTATTTTATTATTACCTTGTAGTTTAATATTCAATTCATTTAAATGCTGGGTGAAATCTGCAAAGAACATCAATCTGGCTATCCACTCCAAGTCAGATAATTCTTCATGTATTTGATTTTGCTCATCCAAAAACATCTTAATTTCGTCAAAGCATTCAATAAACCTTTGGAGAACATTGCCACGACTAAGCCAGCGAACATTATTAAACATAACTAAACCTCTGTATACCGAGTTTACTTCTTTTAATAGATTTTCAAATTTTCTTTTATTCAAGCCTCGCGCAGTAATGAAATTCACTATTTTAGTTACTAGTTTTATTATAGCATCAAATGATTTAAAAGTATTTTTTGCACACAATGCCTCTTGGTGTATAATACAGTGAAAACTTAGCAGGGGATGTCCCACATGTTTAGTAAATAAATTAATAAACCCTAATTCTCTACCAGTCATGCTAGGTGCGCCATCAGTGGTAACAGAAACAATTCTTGAAAAATCCACATTTGCCTCAGAAAGAGTATTTACAACTGCTTTGCAAATATCAGTTCCTTTTGTTGTTTCTTGCAATGAGACTAATTTAACCATCTCTTCTTTAATTTCACTACCAACAAAATATCTAATAAATATAGACAATCGAGCTGAACCAGTAATATCAGTGCTCTCGTCAAGACAAATTGAAAATACATTGCACAACTTAAAATCTGCAATTWGTTGATTTGTGATATTTTCTGCAATTTTTAAAATCCGATCTTTTACAGTATTTCTGGTTATTGGTAAATCCTTTATGCSTTGCATAATTTTATCTTTATTAGAAAAATCTTCAAATAGAAATGGTGTAGTTTCCAGCATCAAATCTTTAATATATTCTCCATCGCAAAAGGGCTTTCTGCGTTTTGCAATAACATTTGATACAACAAAACTTGCGGCAACAATATTTGAATTGCTACCCACAAACTTCATTAAGGTATTTGTCTGCAAATTGTTGTTCTTAATTGCTTGTAGAATATACTCTTTTTGTTCTTCTTTTATTTTTTTCAAAAGAAAATTATGATTAGTTTCATAATGTCGTTTAACAGATGATGTTCTACATACTATTGTGGTTGAACATAAAATACATACTGCTTTATCGCCTTTTTTAACCATACCATAATCTTCAGTCCATGAATTTTGAAATTCTCTGCTACTACAACTACTAACATTTAATTCACTAATTTTTCTTTTTTTTGGTACAGACATATTAAATAATGTTAAATAAAATATAATAATCGCACACGAAACACGAAACACGCACGACGCACTTACAAATTGACAGACGTATTTGTACTGATTAGTGTTTACTGAGGTAGGTTTATTACTCTCAATAATAATATAGGTATTATTATTTTATCTACAGATAAGAATAATCGTTAATGACCGATAAAAGCCGTATGCTCAAAATATTTTTACCTATTACCTATATATATTATATAATAGTAAAAATTTTCGAGTGCCCACAAAATCTTTTCGCRTGCCATCTCGGGCACGCGTGCCATGGATTTGCCATCCCTGTAGCTATAACTATGCGATAATAAGTTCTCATCTTATGTATTGAATAAATAAACAATGAAGTAAATATATACATATTATTATGTAAATATCGCTCATCCGGAAGAAAAACGACACAAATCAAAAATTGACAATTTTGGGTTTTTTATACATAGTAATAGAACAAGATGTACATTTTATTGTGTAAAAACCACGGATTAATATACTGGATACGCAACGAACCTGTGATAAGTGAAGCACTGACCTTCTCACGTTGCGGTAAGATTCCTAGCGCGATCGTGTGTAGTATTTACATACTAATTCCCGCGTATTTTTAATTCGTGAATTCGTGATTATATCACTAACTATATGAAATAYAGTAMCTAATATAGTAATATATTATATTATGAAAAAAGTCTGTATTGTGTAAGCTCTATTAGCATAATATAAACTATATAACCTAATAAATCAAAAATAATATTATTCAATAGCAACTGACCAATATTTTTTATTTTAATATATATTATTTTCAATCAACATGCCGCCTTGGTTAGATAAATGTTGCACTGAAAATTGTGTAGGAAATTCTAAATTTAGGTTT